CATGGTGACATTTCCCCATGTCCTTTGTTCCACAGGATGACACTGAACGAGAGGGTCCAGATGAGAAACAGCATGGGCAGTGGGTTGCCCAGCCACTAAGGAGCCAGTGCTAACTGCAGCCGCGTGCTTTTACAGGCTGCAACTATAACCAAAAGGGAATTAAGTGGTGTCGCACGTTTTACTGACACTAGAGGCACAGGTGAGAGAGGCTCAGAGCTGCCTCCTGTAAGATAGGGATGAGGATGGGAACTGCCTTGACACATGCCTACAAGGCTGCTTATGTCCCCGTGTGCCAGTGCGATACAGCATGTTTGCAAAGACTTGGGTCATGTTGCAGTGAAGCCTCCCTTACTTGACCTATACGGAAATGTGCAGGATCATCAGGGCCCTACAACGAAACTGACGGCCATGTTGCTTTTTCTTTCTTTCTGCTTGGTGCCTGCTTTTTCCTTATTGATCCATGTTCTACTGTTATTGTCCCCTGGATAACCATCTTTCCACTATGCCTCCAGATTCAAGAGTGGCATCCAAATCGATTTAGGGTTTCTGGACCTGACTTGTGCAGTGTGAATGCTGCAGGGCCATGCTGCTGGCAAGGCTACCAGACATCCCTGGGGTCCGCATACAGGGTGGGAATGAGCTCCCGGTGTGTATTAAACAGAGTCACAGAACTTGAGCGTGGATTCTCCACTTAGAATACAACTAGTTGTTTTACTAGAAGATGCCCCATTGCAACCACCACCATTACCACGTTGCACAACTCCATGGGCATCTACTGAGTGGGACTGGTTTTATCCAGACACTGCTGCAGGTAAGTGTTGTCATCTGTCTGCTGGATTGTCTCTGTCAGCAGCAATCATGAGGCAAGATGAATTCTTGGGCCAGAAGGTGTCTCACAGCAGGGGCTTCTACACTACCTGCTGATATGGCTTATGTGATAGAACATCTCTACTGAGATGTTTTTATGGTCAGATATCCACTGGATAGAAAATTCACATAGTGCAAGGGGGAAAAAACCCTGAACTTCCTTTTTTTCTCTACTTGTGGGCTCTGATAACCAATATCTTATCAACAGCAGTTCACTGAGCAACGGTATTGTATTAGTTTCCTAGGGCTGTGTAACAAATGATCACATACTGGGGGCTTAAAACCCAGAAATGTATTCTCTCATGGTTCTGGGGGCTGGGATTCTGAAATCCAGGTGTGGGCAAGACTGGTTCTTTCTGGAGGTTCTGAAACCCTGAGAAAGAATTTGTTCCATACTTCTTGCCTAGCTTCTGGTGGTTGCCAGCGATTCTTGATTCTTGGCATTGCTTTGCTTGTAGATGCATCACTCTGATCTCTGGCTCCGTCTTCACATGGTGTATTCGTCAGGGTCCTCCAGAGAAACAGAGCTGATGATGCAGTTATGCCATTATTGAGGCAGGCACATCCCAAGATCTGCAGGGGGAGTCAGTAAGGTGGAGACCCAGGAGAGCCAGTGGTGTAGTCCCAGTCCAAGTGAAAACCTGAGAACCAGGAGAGCCACTAGAGTAGGTCTAGTCTGAAGGCTGGGAGGCTTCAGACCCAGAAGAGCTTAAGTTTCAGTTTGGGTCCAAAAGCAGGGAAAAGGCTGATGTCCCAGTTCAAGGCAGTCAAGCAAGAAATAATTCTCCCTTACTGCATAAAGAGTCAGCTTTTTTGTCTTATTCAGGCTTTCAGCTGATTAGGTGAGGCCCATCCACATTAGGAGGGACAGTCTGCTTTACTAAGTCTACTGATTCAAATGTGTATCTCAACCTAAAATACCCTCACAAAAAAACACCCAGGATAATATCTGGCCAAAAATCTGGACACTTACGGCCCAGTCAAGTTGAGACCTAAAATTAACCATCAAGCATGGCATTCTAACTGTGTGTCTGTGTCTTAAACTCCCCTTCTTATAATAGAACCAATCAATGGGTTAGGACAATTAATAATTATCAGTTATAATCAATTGTGACTTGATTACCTCTACAAAGACTCGATTTCTAAATTAAATCACTTTTACAAGTACAAGAGTTAGGATTTGAACATATCTTTTTGAGGGACGCAATTGAACCCACAGCAAGTATCAATAGATAAAAGCCATCTCGACTTCTAGCAAATTGCATCCTCATGGGACAATAGACCTTTACTGGAATCATTTGAATATTTTGTTGAAAGATAGGAGCAGAGGCCACCTATGCTGTGGCTCTCTTGGCATCCACAGTGAGGGTGTTATCAACTCTGAACATGTTATAGTGAATTTGATCTGGACACAAAATTGTGTAGTTCCTGGAATAGTGTAGTGACGATTCCAACCAGACAAGCAATTTCCCTTTCCTGATAGAGCTATGATAGAAAAATGAGAGGGAAAATACTGGTCGTTATCGCTGGTGTGGGTGTAAAGTGGTACAACCACTTTGGAAAGCTGTCCGGCAGTGTCTACTAAAGTGAAACACATGGCTACTCTGTGACACCACAAACCCCTACTAGATATATCCCCAAGAGAGATGAGTGCATACTCGCACCAGAAGACATATACAAGAGCATGCACAATTGCAAAGAACTGGAAACAGCCCAAATTTCCACCCACCAGCAAAACCAATAAATGTATTATTGTATGTTCATACAATAGAACACTTCTCAGCAATAAAAATAGGAATGAACTATTGATACCACAACAACATGGATGAATCTCACTGACAAATATTGAGCAACAGAAGCCAGACAGAAAGACTTATAAGATGTATGATTCATTTGTATGCTGTTCAAGAATAGGCAAAACTAATAGGTGGTGACAGCCATCAGGTTGTGGTTACCTCTGGGAGGGGGTATGACTAGAAAGGGCACAAGGGAACCTTGTGGGGAGACGGAAATGTGCCACATCTTGGTGGTGTTTCTATGTGTGTATATGAATAATGTAAAAACTCATTAAGCTATACACTTAAGATGTGTGCACTTTACTGGATGTATTATGTACCTCAATAAAACACGAAAAGATTAATGTATTGGAGCCCTACTACATGACAAGCATTATTCTAGGCGCAGCAGTACAATAAAACAAAGTCTCTGTTCTCATGGAATTTACATTCTAGGGAGAGAAGACATTTTATAAACTAATAAAAACAAATGAACAAACTCTGTGTGTGTGTGTGTGTGTGTGTGTGTGCGCGCGCGCGCACACGCGGGCACCCACACACGCGTAGAAAGAGAGAAAGAGAGAAAAGGAGAGTGAGCAAGAGAGAGGGAATGGCATGGTGACAGGTATTGAGTGAAAATGAATTAGATACAAGGAGATAAATTGATAAGGTAGCAGTTAAGCAGAGGCCTGAGCGGAGTACGGAGGCAGCCAGGAAACTATCCAGATGGAGGAACGTTCAGGCTGAAGGACCAGCAACTACTGAGCTGGACTAGTGTGGGGACCACGGAGGAACAGCAAAGTCCCTGGCGAGAGTGGACCAGAGTAGGAAAACTAGAGCATGGGAAAAATGAGATCCATGGGGATGTGATGGAAATGGTGAGATTTAGGAATATTTCCGACAGAGCCAGTAGGATTTGTTGATGGATTTGAAGTAGGATTTTTAAAAAGAACATATTTTTATTTTGGGTTTGATTGTCTCATACTGCAGATTTGAAGAAGAAAGTCAGTTCTGTTGTGACCTTATTGATCTGTGATTCTTACTAGATATCCAAGTGCCATGGGCAAGCAGGCAGCTAGACATACGTGTCTAGTCACAGGAGTGGTCTACACTGGAAGTTTCTATTTGTAATTTCATAGCATATATTTGTTTTTTGCTTGCTTGTTTGTTTGTCTTTAAATAATGGGGCTGGATAAGATTGACGAGAGAGAGCCTGAGGGGATGGCGAGATTGGAAACTGTCGGGTTTAAAAAGAAACAACTGCCATAGAACTACTTGACTTCTTAAATTATGTGCCTGCATACCTTTGATAAAACAAAACCTAAAAATAAATGTAATAATTACATTTACTCTCACAGTTAATTAATTCTGTACACATTATATCCATGTCTTCCCTCCAAGTTCATTTTTCTTCTTGCTGAAATACATCTCAATATTTCAGCAGTTGTCAAACCTCTTGGTCTTTTTATATCTAAAAATATCTAAATTATCTTGAATGCTAATTTAGTTGATATAATGGGATATTCAGTAAGAAAACTCAAGGCACCAAAGTCCAAAGTAACTTCTAAGACAGACAACCCACTTAGGTGTACACATTTTCACAGGAAAAGGTTCAGCAGTTTTGAACAACCTTGTAGATGTCACAGCCTGAGGACTCTGTCCGCCATCCTACCTGGGGCAATCGTGGGGTGAAGAATCCTAGTATCAAATTCCAGTTGGAGGATGGGGAAAGCATAGTAGGTGGGCTGTGAACTGGACACTGAGGGCTGGCTTCTGAACCCCACTTGGGAAATGTGAAGAGCCAGAGACGGCAGGTTAACTGCTAACAAGAGAGCTGAGGGAGAGGTGACCAGATTAAGATCAGCCAACAACCCCAGAGTTGGTCATGGAAGCATGAACTTTACTAATGGGACAAATGTGGGCCATGCCCTGAGAACGCTGACGTGAGTCCGTTGAGGTCCTGTCCATCGGGCTTCCCACGGGAGTGGGGCCTCAGTACCAGAGGCTGAAGGTGGCGCACTAGATTCTTAGTGGGTAAAAGGGTAAAGGCAGCTACAGGAAGGAGAACATCAGGCCACGTCAGTCAGGTGCATGTGAATCAGAGCCAGCTTCAAACATTACACAACCCAGAAAGCAGAGAGCTGACTCTTAACAAGTCCAGTGAAAATTTCCTGTCCCCCTACTTGGCCTCTTCCCCACCAACCTCAGCTGAGAGGAGGAGAGTGACATAATTTTGAACGAAATTAGGAGCTTTAACTATGGGATAGGACTGGCCAGTCTAAGAACTGGTTTAAAAATGTGTTTCATATTGTGCGTTTGTTATCTCTGCTGCTATCTCTTTTTGCGTTCTGTTCTGCCATGCCCTGCTCTGAAGCGACACCCGTCATCTCCCCCAGCAAGCGGCCCCGGCCTGCGGAGGACAGCATGCGGCTCCGCTTTGTCCGGCTCTCAGAGCACGCCACCGCCCCGACCAAGGGGTCCGCGCGGGCTGCAGGCTACGACCTGTACAGTGCCTATGATTATACACTACCACCTATGGAGAAAGCCCTTGTGAAAACGGACATTCAGGTAGCTCTTCCTTCTGGGTGCTATGGAAGAGTAGTAGCTCCCCGTTCTGGCTTGGCTGCAAAACACTTCATCGATATAGGAGCTGGCGTCATAGATGAAGACTACAGAGGAAATGTGGGTGTCGTACTATTTAATTTTGGCAAAGAGAAGTTTCAAGTCAAAAAGGGCGATCGGATTGCACAGCTCATTTGTGAACGGATTTTTTATCCAGAAATAGAGGAAGTTCAGGTTTTAGATGACACTGAAAGGGGTTCAGGAGGTTTTGGTTCCACGGGGAAGAATTAACATTTATGCCAAGAATAGAAAATGAGGAAACGTACTTTTTTCTTAAAAATAAAGAGTTTTTGCTTAGTGTTTTGGTGTTTTGCACATCTGTAAACATAATAGCTTTAGCTTCTAAAACTGTTTGGTTCTCTTAGGATTTAGGAAAAGATACCTGTGTTGGGGTCCCATAAAACCTTACTTATGTTTTTACACATCTGATTGTTGTATAAATCTGTGTGGTGACCTAATACAAGCTGTTTATTTTTTTAATTAAATGTTTATCAATTACAGATCCAAAAAACCCTGTATTATTTAATTCACTGAAAGCTTCCTCTTCAACTTACTTAATTGTTTTGTAAATCATAAGCAGTTGCCCTTCATTCAATAAATTTGAATTCTTTCACAGATACAAATTATTGTATGAGTGACTAAAAAGTTAATAAAAAGAAGTTGAAGTTAAAAAAAAAAATGTGTTTCATATCTTGAAGTGCCCATAAAACATTTTAGTAACTTAAGAGTGCTCAGAAAGATCATGAGGCCACCCATTTTGAGAGAGGAAAAGGACTTCTTTCACTGGAAATATTTAAAGGGAGAGTGGAATACCAACTACATTTCATTTGCAATGATGTCATTCTCCCAGTTGAGCTTGTCCAACATACAGGCTAAATTAGCTAACGTCAGCACTTTGAAAATATGATCCCCACTTACCAATGCCTACTGTTTGCTGTCGGTATGTTTATTCCTTTGTAGATTATTGCTCATTTCCCTCAGCATGCATATTAGATTTTCTTTATATCCTGAATATTCTGCAGTATGTTATGAGTCTAGCTGTGGGTTTGTTTTTCTTTAACTATCTTGAAGAGCTTAGACTGCTCTGTTGATCTCAGATCTCAAATAATTTTGTTTGATTATTTCAATGCTGAAAGTTATCTCTTAAAATATTGTGTCTTCATCACTTCTTCTATTCTGGAGCTCTCGTCAAATATATATGGGAGATTCTCAAACTGTTTCCAAGTCCCTATATTACTTCACATTTCTGGTTCTAGGTCTTGCAGTAACACCTGGACTAATTCCTTAGCACTAGCTTCTAGTTCACCATTTCACTATGCAATTGTGTTTAGTCTAAAATCCCTCCCATATAGTTTTTTTAAAAGTTTTATTTCTAAGATTTTAACTGATTTTTATTTATGTCTTGCTGTTTTTAGGTTTTCTGCTTTTTAAATATATCATTGCTCACATTTTTCATAGAAGCTATTTCTTTCTATATCTTGTTTTACATTCTTAAATATAATTATTGCAAATATTTGTCCAACTATTCCAAATAACTTTATCTGCAGTAAATTTAATATTTTATTTCTTAATATTGTCCCATGTCTTTTTATCATAAAAGATTCTATGCATTTTGTACATTTTTGCAAGCTTGTGCTTGGAGAAGTTTTTGTTTTTCCTTTTCTTTTTCTTATTCTCTCTGTTTACCTATTTTTATGTAGAGATCTTGTGTTGCCTCCACTTAGCCTCCCAGATACCAGCTTAGAAACAGGTAATTTTAGGAATCCTAGTCCATATTCATATTGGAGACAATGTTATTTGAACAATGTGTTTTGGTCAATGCTATTAAGCAAGTGGGCGTATTGGTTCCGGTGTGGACATGAAACTAGGCCTTTGTCCAGCTGACTTCCAATGCCAAAATCTTCTAAAAATAAGACTTCATTTGTTTTTCTGTCAGAAGGCTCACCCCTCACCCAACTTCAAGTTGTGAGCCTGGTTCTGGAATCTTTACCCAGCAGTGCTAAACCCTGCCATTGCTGTGCCCATAGCCACATTCCAGTAACCTTTGTCATCAACTTATTTCCTGTTTTGTATTTTTAAAATATTTTATCTATTATTGTTTTGAGTTGAGGTTGTAGAAAGCACCAAAGCATGAACTTAGTATAACATTTTGACCAGAATCTCCTCATCCATTCTAACTTATTGAATTGAATACTTGGTTCATTTATTTCATCTCTCCTTTTGAAACAAAAGCAACCCCAGCTAACATAATAAGTCAAGAAAAAGAAATAAAGCATATACTGATTTGGAAGGAAAAAAATAAAACAGTCTGTTTGTAGATGACATGATTGTCTATGTAGAAAATCTGACAGAATCAGCCAAAAAACTCCTGGAACTAATAGCAAGGTTACAGGGTACAAGGTTAATAATATACAAAAGGTCAGCCATTTTCCTATATAACAGTAAATAAACAATGGAATTTAAAACGTAAAATGCAATACCTTTTACATTAGCACCCCCCAAAATAAAATACTTAGCTATAAATCTAACAAAATATGTACAAGATCTATATTAGGAACACTATAGAACTAATGAATGAAATCAAATAACTAAATAAATGGAGAGATATTCTATGCTCATGAATGGGAAAACTCAATATTATCAAGATGTCAGTTCTTCCCAACTTGATATATAGATTCAATGCAATTCCAATCAAAATCCAAGCAAGTTACTTTCTGGTGATTGACAAACTGATTCTAAAGCTTATGTGGAAAATCAACAGACCAGAAATAACCAACAGAATAATGACGAAGAACAAAGTTGAAGGACTGACACTACCCAATTTTAATACTTACTTTAAGCTACAGTAATCAAGATTGTGTGGTATTGGCAATAGACAAATAGATCAATGGAACAGAATAGAGAGCCCATAAAGAGACCCACATAAATAGTCAACTAATCTTTGACAAAGGAACAAAGACAACACAATGGAGCAGAGATTTTTTTTTTTTAACAAATGGTGCTGGATCAACTAGACAAGAACATGTAAAACAAACAAACATAAAACAGACTTTATATAACCTGAAAGATTAACTCAAAATGGACCACAGAGCTAAATGTAAAATATAAAACTATAAAACTCCTAGAAGATAACATAGAAGAAAATCTAGATGACCTTTCATTTGTCAATGACTTTTTTTTCCCCCACAAGGAGTGCTTCTATGTTAAAAAGTTTAGAAGGTGGAAATAGCTCTTGGAGTTGTATTCTGAAGATTTGTTCAGGAAGGTCAATGTTAGCAGGCTTCATCCTCTCGGGGACTCAACAGCAGGTAAGTAGAGAAGGACTGGGGACAACAGCTTATTCTGGAGGAGAGAGAGCCTAGTGGAGATTAGCGTAGAATGCACCAGAAGCTCTTTTATGTCAAACTTCCTTTGGGATCCAGCTTTACCAATAAACTTATTGCCTCTGAATATAGGGTCTTCTCATCCACGTTTTGAGCATCACAGAAAACAAAGAATTTTTTTCCTTCAATTTTATCAAGTTGGCTATTTATCACAACAACAGAACAAAGGGGGATTGATCTTTTAAAATTAATGCTGAGATTGTCAGTCATGACGATCCCCCAACTATAATTGCAGACATACCAATAATAGCATCAATCATGGTTGCAATGGCACCTCTGTGAAGGAATCCAGGTGCTCCTTGCAGGTAAGGACCTCCTTGAAATATGCAAACTATCCTTTCTTTAACATGATTATGGAATATCACATACTCAAGGCCCAGGCCTTCCTTAAGGCTTCTGGGGAAAAGCTGGGCGTATGACACTTGTTATTTTAGAGGCTTTGTGTCACACACAAAGAAGGTTTTGAAGTCTTTAATACTTCAAGTTGATTTACATTTATTTGAAGGCAAACGTTTCTAGAAGCCATCTTCACATTTCTTCATGAACCGGTTAAAGAGGAGTCTCATGTCCTTGCTCCAGCTGGACATGGGAAAGAATGGCTCCTAAAATGATCTCGGAAGAAAACTACCTCTGCACAGCTGCATGGTCCATCACTAGCGGGTAACACCTCCCTGTGGAGGAACAACCCCCGCTCACCCCTCCCAGGCAAATGCAGTTACAAGGAACAGCTCCACAGCATGGCTCCCAGGGTGCCCAAGCTCAACCAGGATGGTGCCTGGCCACCTGACCACTCACTTGCTCCTATCCATTCATGAAGGGGCATGTAACAACTGGCAATGACTTTTTAGATACAACACCAAAGGCACAATCTATGAAAGAAATAGTTGATAAAATGGACATCATTAAAATTAAAACTTTCTGCTCTTTAATAGACATTGTCAAGAAAAATAAAAAGACAAGCCACAGACTGGAAGAAAATATTTGCAAAGACATGTCCAATTAAGAACTATTATCCAGAGCTCTGGAGCAAGGTGGCAGAGGAGTAGGAGACCTGGATTTCATCTGGTCTCAGGAATTCAGCTGGATAGGGATCAAACCATTCTGAACACCTACCAACTCAACAGGAGACGGAAGAAGAGAGTAGCAACAACTCTCTGAACAGAGAAGCGACCACTTACTGGAGGGTAGGACATGCGGAGAAGTGAATCCGAGGCGATATTCGGGAGGATAGACGGCGGGGGAGGGGGCCTCCGTCGGCCGCTTCTGGCAAGTGATAGA